AAAATAGAACTCTTTAAGAGCTCTTGAAAACATACTGCTATTTTTTTCTCACTCTGAAGCCTGGCTGGGAGCCACTTGCCCAGCTCAACCAGGGGTCAGAAGGGAAGAGGAGTAAAGGGGATTGTGAAATTTGTGTCAGCCCAGGATCAGCACGAGCATTTCCTGAATTGCAACCAAACAGAAGTCTGACTTCAGCCCAGTCTCACGCTTGTGTTCAGCCAGCTTCAAGCCGGACTTGCCAACTGTAACCCCAGGCGCACAGATGGCTTTTTACCACGTTATGGTGTGAAGTGACCTGAGTACAAACAAGACAAATCAGTAGGCAAAGGGCTCCTGCAGCTCTGCAGGAGGGCTGGGCCAGCAGTGGCAAGGTGCTGACTTACCATACATTTTTTTTTATTTATCTTATCACATTTACTGTGCTCACCTATGAAAAGGGATGCAGCTTTTATCAGTCAAACAGCCTTTCCTTGCAAAAAGGTCTTGCATGGAGTGCCCATGTCACCGACTCATAGTTAGCTCCAGTTGTTGGGTCAGCCGGCAGGATTTCAGTCAGGTGCCTAGCAGGAAAAGAAGTTCAAGTGTCAAGCCACTCAGCCTTGCCAAAGTCTGGGAGGTCTTTGGACTGAAGTAGTGGTGAAATTTAAGACAGATGGCAAAAGCTATACACTGCCTGTAAAACCTTATTATTCTGCTCAATTCTCAGGAGCTGCATTGCCTTCCAGCAGTTGTGTAACTTATCCATTGCATCACTTACAAAATAAAACAGGAATACCTGAGTGCTCAGATGCTGCTGGCAAGAAAACAGAGCACTTATCTGAAAATCTTTGAAAATCCCAGATGAAAAATTTGTTCCATCTCATCCACAAAAAAAGTTCTTTTCAAACTGCAGATAGTATGTAATAAAAATTCACATTTGCACCTCAATTTTTAACTTCCTCCAAATCTGGACTCAGGCTTTTCAGACCAAATACAGCTCAGTGCTAGGGATAATTGTCCACATTATACCAGTATTAATTGACTGTGATAACTAACATCAGCCTTCCTCTAGGGAATATGTTTCCTAGGACACTATAGGGTAGCCTTAATTTCCACCACTTGAGTTAGACAGCTCCGAAGTTCCACAATTTCCAGAGCTTCCAGAAATTTTTCGCAGCCCAGAAAACCAACCATATCCTGGGCTGCATCAAAAGGATCATGACCAGCTGGTCGAAGGAGGTGATCCTGCCCCTCTACTCTGCTCTTGTGAGATCTAACTTGGAGTATTGTGTGCAGTTCTGGTGTCCTCAACATAAAAAGGACATGGAACTGCTGGAACAAGTCCAAAGGAGGGCCACGGGGATGATCAGGGGGCTGGAGCACCTCCCATATGAAGATAGGCTGAGAAAGTTGGGGCTGTTCATCCTGGAGAAGAGAAGGCTGCTTGGAGACCTCATAGCAGCCTTCCAGTATCTGAAGGGGGCCTATAGGGATGCTGGGGAGGGACTCTTCATTAGGGACTGTAGTGACAGGACAAGGGGTAATGGGTTCAAACTTAAACAGGGGAAGTTTAGACTGGATATAAGGAGGAAGTTCTTTACTGTAAGGGTGGTGAGGCACTAAAGTGGGTTGCCCAGGGAAGCTGTAAATGCTCCATCCCTGGCAGTGTTCAAGGCCAGGTTGCACAGTCTTGGGTGACATGGTTTAGTGTGAGGTGCCCCTGCGCATGGCATGGGGGTTGGAACTAGATGACCTTAAGGTCCTTTCCAACCCTAACTATTCTATGATTCTATGATTTTATAAATCTGGAGACAGATGAGCTCCTTTTCTGCTTTCATTAATAAAATGAAGATGCATTTCTTTTCTTATTCATTCAGTGATTCCTTGCGACCCATATCAGCCATTAGTACAAATGACAATAGCAACATGTCACCGCAATTTAAAAAGGTAGAGATCACAGTTCTCCTGGGATGAAATTCACTGCAATGAAAGTCCTTCAGACATCAATAGCAGAGAAAGAAAACAGTGAGTTTCTGTAATTATACTCAGAAAATCAAAGAGCAGCCCCTTTTACAAATGAATGTCACATAACCCATCAAGAGTTGTGTGCATGTAATCCTGTTCTTCCCAAGCCCACAGACATCCAAGGCAAATATATCAGTGTAGACTGATATCTTCTGCAGTACATCTAACACTTATGATCCTCAAAGTGTATCTATCTATGAAAATAAATTCCATTATCATAAGGTACACAAAATGTAATTGCACCAGCCAATTATAACATCACGCAACACCACAACATTTCATTTTTATCCCTCTTATTAGAGCTCTTTCCAAAAGACTTCCTCTCACCTTCAGTCCTCCAGCCCAGTTCCTATTATTGCTATTTATGAATTGTACTGCTGTAGCAGAGATACAGGACAATGTTCAAACTGTTCCTGCTTTTTAATTATGAATGTGTGTCACTTTTACCAATAAGAAAGGCATTTGTGTAACTAGCTTCTGGAGCCAAGAACTGCCATTCAGGCTTATAATGAATTTATTGCTATAAGGCATCAAGAGAGATGCAGCGCAACAGCTCTTTGAAGCAACCCAGGTATACACAGTATGTGCAGGTCACAAGATACACGAGAAAGGTCAATGAAAGTAGGGCACCTTGTTCTCAGATTGATGGGCCTTCAAGGAGCTGTGGACAATTATGAGGATCACTGTGCTGTCGGTAAGCTGCACACAGAGGTTCAAAGTAGAGGCAGTTATGGACCTCCCTGCTGATTTTTTATTCCTTATACTTTTCTGAGTCCTTGGTGAATGACAAACAAGACCACTACTGCACTTTCAACATACACATGGAGAAGCCCCAGTGCCTGAAGCATTTCTATAATAATGCAATCAATGTTGAGAACAAGAAGGTGTACATGGGTATTACAGGTCAGCACTCTGGTGAGATCACTGGCAATTCCTACAGAGGGCAAACAGGATGATAAGGATATATTAGGTCTTCAGAACTTCAATACCAGGGCCCTCAAATTTCCACTTGAATATCAGGTGATGATAGTATGATAGTATGACCTAAGACCACACTTTTAGCAAACAATGCAGTAAACATAAAACTCCCCTTAACTGATACCTTAAAAAGGCTTTATTTTTATGAGGCTTGGACAAACAGACAAATAACCTTATTGTTGTACTTGGATGTACAACAAAGATTTGCAAAACTACAAGTGCAGCAAAGGAAATTCTGATTATACTTTTTTTTTTTTTTTTACCATGACAGAGTCAAACACCAGAACATGTATCCCAGAAAAGCTGCAAATCCTTATCTTTGTAGACAGTCAGAACTGAGCTGGACACAGCCCTGAGCAACCTGACCTAAGCTGGCCCTGCTTTGCAATGGAGCAAGAGACATGGGATTTACAGTGGTCACTTCCAACTTAAACCATGCTACAATCCTAAATATCACTTGTAAAATTTTAGCATGGAAACGTTTTCCTGCATCTCCCTGACCCACCACTGTGAGCCCCTTTCAAAAAGGTCAGGTGCACGTGTACAGCCACAGAAGGTGACTCATGTCTTTGATTTCCAGGAAGGTCCTAGTCCAGCCAACAGGGCTAACACCATTGCTTTTAAGCAGTTCAACATATTGAAGATCAGCTATTTGCAGGTGTCTGAGCTACTCTTACAATCTGTGGCCAAAAGGGGAGCAGCCCACAACAGGGAGTGATGCTTTAGTAGGAAAAATAATCAAAAACAGACAAATAATGCAAACTGTATGAAGGCCACCATTCTTAATCTTATTTTCCATGTGGGTTGCCTAAATTACAAGCAGCAGATGACAGCTTTGTCATCTGTGTTTTGAACAACGACGAGACAGGGGGTGGATAAGCTCAGACATTGCTTACAAGCTAGTGTCTGCTTTAGGTTAGCTGTAAGGGGTAACTTATCTTCCATACACTTTGGCATGGCACTTCAAAGTCTTATCTATATCTTATGTGCAGATGGGTGCCAGGGACCTAACTCATCCAGGCAGCTAGATCCTTAGGCAGCACAACACTTGCTTTGAGGGCAACTTCACAGGCACTCTGAATCCCAAAATGCTTGTAAGATGAATAATAACAAAGCCGTTATTCTGCATGTTCAAAGGAAACAAAATAATAGATAAATAAATAAAGGCTTGAGTATATAGATATAAGTAGGAGCAACATCAAGAAATTAAACGAAGGGAAAATTAGGCTGAATATCACTGAAAATTCAATAGTGAGTGTGGCATGTTAACCCATAGGGATGACCTACTGCTTCCAATACTTAAAGTTAGATTGGACAAAGTAACACAGAGAACTAAAAATAAAACAGTTTGCTTTGTCTGACATGTCTTTTCCATGTCTAATTTTGGTGACTATAGGTTAGTATTGTGTATGACTCAGGATCCCTTTCAAGTTGAAAAATGTATGCCACCAGCTCTTGGTCCACTCATTCATTCATTCATTCATACTTCTGTTCACCTAGAGCTTTCTGAAAACATTAACTACCCAAACCAAGCATGCAGTTTATGTTTACCGGTCTGACATATCAGTAGCCATCTAATATTATTTATTTAACTAACTGCTTCTTTACATTTGATTATAATTAAGACTAATTCTTCTAAAAACACTTAAGATATATATTTTAGTGTTGCACCATGTATCAAAAAACAGGGAAAGAGAAAATTACCTTCATAGGCAGGTAATTTTCACTGGTTACTTGCCTGGAATTCACATGCTACATTTGGTAATGTTCATTTTAAAGTCACAGTAAACTGCACACCTTTTTCTGACAAAATTGAGTTTAAATACAAGAGGTGATAAGAGGTATTCAATTTTATTATGACATTAAAAGCTAAGTGCAATGATGTTCAGAAAAAATAAACAGCCATGAAAATTTGAGTGGCAGAATATTTTAGTGTATTATTTTGTAAGTTATGTAATATTTTAATGTTTCTTTCTCTTTTTTGCCCATTTCCTCTCTTCTGCCTCAATATTAGTTAAAGACTCTTCCTTGTTCTGTAAGAATGGCATGCTGAAGAGGAATAGATTTTCTTGATAATCACAGCTCCACAAAGAAGGCTTTCACAAGTAACTTTAAAAAGTGGGAATCTTTCCACTCAGGGAAACAGAAACACCTTTTCATAGCTCCCTGAGCTTGCTTTGGTTTGCATCAGCACCACCCCTGAGCCAGGTACGCAGCACTATCCACCCTGTCCTTATCCTGCTGGATGAACGTTATTACAAAGGCAGTTTGAAGAAGGCTGCACCAATGCAAACTCGCAAGGCATTTCCTGCAGGAGCTGGATGCCTGCAAAGCAGATCAGACCAGGATATTCCTGAACCTCCCTGCAGCTGATTCCTGCTGCCAAAATGACCCCATGGAGCTGCTGCTCATAAGGCAGAGCAAACCTTAAGATCCTATAAGCTCCAGAGATCAAAGCAGATCCTGGCAGCTCCTGAACAAAAAATTAGTGAAGAGAGGGTAAACAAACTGCTTTTCCTGCTCTTTTGATGACTAAATCCACTCTGGTATAAAGGATGAGTTTAGCTGTAAATATTCCTATTTCAAGGACAGGAATAGAAGAAAATTTGTTCTGCTAACCTGGAAACATGTAATGCTGTTCTGTCTCACTTAGAGCTTCTGTCTCTCCTTCCAGCTCTTTCTTTTTTTCTGTTCAACTGCCAGGCAGAGACAGAAAGATCACTAATGAACCACAGCTTCTGTTCAGGTCATTAGCTGTACCAGAGAGAAAGTTAATGAACCCTACTATATAAAGACAAAATCAGGTTTTCTTTAATAGTTTCCATAGCAAGAGCATCATTTTCTGTTAGTGTAATCCCTGCATGATTTAGTTTGAGTTCCTTTTTTTTTTTCAGATTTTTTTTTTTTCTCTCTTCAGCTTAGTTTTGGAGGAACAGCGTGACAGAGAACATCTGGTCATTGAGTGTATGCGGAGGATGTTCAGATGCTGTGGAGGAAATGCCAGAGGTAGCCAGAGAGGGTGGGGATGGTAAGCTACCTTGTACAAGAACATCTTTGGGAAATCAGAAATAAAAATTGGCACTTGCTGCAGCATTGTTCTACAGACTGATTTCAACAGCAACAACAAAAAATAAGCACCTGCAGAGCCCCTGCCTTTCACTGACCATCTTGTTTCCCTCTCTGGTCTTCTCCCACTTGCAGACATTCAGAAATCAAAGACTTGTGTATCCTTATGCTTTATCTGAGTAACTTAAAGACTTTCATGTACTTACCTGTCACAGTGGTCCATGGGTATAAGAAAATGTTATTCCCACTCTATGGGGATACTCAGGGTTTTCCAAACAAATCATGGTCAGGCAGGATGTTTTTTTCTCCTAGCTCTCCAGCATCCTAAGCACAGGAAGAGCCTGTCAGATTCACAGCTGCAACAGGGCCAAAAGAATATGCTGCATCCCAGAAGAACTTTCCCTCTCCTAGATATGTTTTGCTTTCAATATAAATGTGCTTGAGAAGTTACACAAATCAAAGTTGTGGTGATAAGACAATGAAAGAGAAGCAAAAAACACCTATGAATATCCTATGAAAGCATGCATACATCAAAATCAAAGCCTAGCAGCATGGGCCAGAAAGGTCCTCCCAGGTTCAGTAAGTCTGAAGTCACTGTACCGATGAATCTCTTTTGGTAAGTTTTATCTGACAGCAGCCTTGTAGCCAGCAGCCTTACTGGGACACTGTCTGGACTGTTACCCACTTACAAACATAAGGTCTGTAACCCACTTCCTGGTGACAAGCCCTATGTTATTTTTTAGATTTATTCGTGGACGAGTTTCCATAACTTACATTCCACACTACAACCAGAGTGTGCAAGAAAATGAGGTGACATATAATGTGAGAAATGTGGATTGATACCATCTGATATATTCTGCTTCCACTGAAATTTTCCTGTTCTTCTGTATTCTATTCCCAGGGAGCTCCTTCCTGCAGCCCAGTTTTGAGGTGCATAGAAGGCAACAGCAAGGTTCACATCCAAGTGAAGCTTTTCCAATCTTTTTAATAGGTGCTGATCACAAAACAGGTTACTCCACAACAACCCTTTCCAGAAACAGCTGTTTGTCCTTCTCGGTGGATATTAAGAACGCTGCCCACAAATCCTAATCTCCTGTTAATGTGTGTTGCATTAACATCTACCAACACTGAGCACTGGGGCGGTTTTACCCAATTTTGTATCAAAGACGGACCCAGATTCACTATTCCAGCCTTCATCTTTAAGCAAGAAATTGATGCAGCCCAGGAAGGAGAAATTCTTCATCCCTCCCCACATTTTCCCTCTTTAGTGAGTAGTTCTGAACTATGGCAGAAGAATTAGTGTATTTCCCAATCTGTTCCAGCCCTGAAACACTTCAGTCTCACTCATGGGCCAATGGGCATTGAGAAAAACAAATCTGGTTTCATTTTTATCTCCGTTTCCCGATCATTTGCTCCTCAGTTACTTTTGATAATAATAAGCAAAAAGATCAGAAAATACTTGGAAAAACCTAACTGATGTTGTTTGTACGCAAGCATTCTTCCACTAGCATTAGTTTTTCATCAGTATTTCTCTAGAATAGCTAAGCATGGTATTTTTACCCAAAGACAATTTACTGGTACAGAAAAAGTACAGCAGACAATGCATTCTTACTTTATTATGCATAAACACCAGGTATGTACTCACCTTTCTATCTTATTTATCACACTGTCATTAAATCTGTGTCACTATTACTGTTCTCTTAATACACGTCACAATAATGTGTTCTTATCAGGTCTCCTTTCTCATCTACTGATCTAATAATATACTATCTCAACATTTTAATGCAAACAAACAAAAAAACATTCAGGCACAATATACTCAGGAAAGCAATGTTCATGTTTCAGCATAAACAAAAGCCTTTCTTTTTTTTGAAGTCAGCTTAATGGTTCAGCACTGCTGACGGAATCATTCAATGATGCCCAAGGAAGGAAGATGCAAGCTAATTAAAACGTGGTTACAGAAGCCTGGTTGGCAAATATTGTTAATATTTGTGGATTTTGAGCAAGAACTGCTGCACTGAATCACATGAAAATTTGCTCTGACTTACAAGAAAGAAGGTTATATTTAAAGTAGCTCTCTAAGAGCAGTACTCCAAGGTTTTGTCTGGCCTGATACTCTGAAAGTACCAGGGACTCCCCAGGGATACCAAAACCCAACTGACCAAATGATGAAATTGCCAGGTTGGTCGACTGGGGTGCTTTTGGCTCAGGCCAACAAACAACCTCTCCAACTGAGTCTGTCAGAAACAGGAGGAACCACTTCTGATATGCAGTCCAGATGCAAACCCTCCTGTTTTGGAGAGAGTTTTACAGTGCGTCCACCCATTTGGCCTCTGCACTCAAGAACAGTCCCAGGCATGTTTAATTTATTAGTATAAACAATGCTTGGTAGTCTTCAGCTTTGCTTTTGTCAGATAAGATGGTGGCTGTCAGACTAGCCTGAATTTGTTTCAAAGCATTACCTTGTGTCAGGACTGCACAACACCCAAAATTGTACCAGGCATCTGAAGACAAAAGGGGCACGGGGTTCTGGTCATGTGTTTAAATAGGGGTTACTATGCTGTTTTATCATTTTATCATGTCAGTGCAGAAGAGGAAGCATGTGAAAAATCATTAGGATGAATAAATTAAATAAATTAGCATCAACAAGGCAGCTCATAATCCAATTAGAGAAGGTGATAATGTATCTTACCCAGCTAAAGAGAAAACACAGGCAGGAAGGACCCACTGTGGAAACACAAACTCCTCTGCTTAAAAGAAGATTGGGGGCAGAAAAATGAATTCAGAACAGCATTTTATTAGCAGAATTTGCCTCAACTTAACTCTAATAGATTGAGTCAGTGCAGGAGGTGTGGACAGGCACCATGTTGTTATTTTACAGGATGGCAAAGGCATTATAAAACAGGAGAGTGATTGCAATATTTTTCACCTTGTTAAGCCCCTTAAAAAGCTAGCTGATTATACACTGTTTCTTTAAAAAGCAGAAGGCAGGGAGACAGTCTAGTAGTGAAAAAATAGCTAGTGGAGATTGTATTAACTTTAGAGATGCTTGCAAGTATGTGCTAAAAGAGCCAACTCTGCTTTTCATATGTGACCTGTGATTTTCGTTACAGAAACGACACTGTTAAACTTCTGAGGCACCAGATGAATCGAATCTCTAGAGCAATATATTATAACAAGAAAAATGTGAATTTCAGTTCAGAATCTGACTTTGCACACCTGTCCAGTTGTGCCAGGTGGTTTCCTGCTTGACCTCCATTTTTGCCTGAAGTTGTATTTATTTTAGCATTTCAATATTACTTGAAGAGTCTTGATCCATTCATCAGCATAGATGATGTTGGAATCTTGTGATTATTGAAACTATTATTGAAACTATTATTGAAACTATTAATTCATATAATCACCCAGACTGTCTTCCCCAGCAAATTCTTCATATGCACCATGGGAACTTTGTTCCCCTCTACAACATGTAAAAGTTCTGACTGGGCTGGGCCAGCCCTGTTGGCAGATCCTCTGGTGTTGACCAACCAGGTGGCCTTTGGTAAGTGTGTATCCCAGCGCTTGAAAGTTCCCCCACCCATTGCTCTCAGTGCAGTTTTTAACAGCCCATTGTACCGTTCGATTTTCCCAGAGGCTGGTGCAGGGTAGGGCATGTGATATACCCACTCAATGCCATGCTCTTTGGCCCAAATATCTATAAGGTTATTCCCGAAATGAGTCCCATTGTCTGACTCAATTCTCTCTGGGGCGCTGTGTCACCACAAAATGTTTCTCAAGGCCCAGGATAGCGTTCCAGGCAGTGGCATGGGGCACAGTGTATGTTTCCAGCCATCGGTGGTTGCTTCCACCATGGTAAGCACATGGCACTTGCCTTGGCGGGTTGTCGGCAGTGTGATACAGTCAATCTGCCAGGCCTCCCCATATTTGTACTTCAACCATCGTCCTCCATACCAAAGAGGCTTTAACCGTTTGGCTTGCTTAATTGCAGCACATGTTTCACACTCATGAATAACCTGGGCAATAGTGTCCATTGTTAAGTCCACCCCTCGATCACGAGCCCATCTGTATGTTGCATCTCTGTCCTGATGGCCTGAAGTGTCATGGGCCCACCGGGCCAAAAATAATTCATCTTTATGTTGACAATCTAAGTCCATCTGAGCCACTTCAATCTTAGCCGCTTTATCCACTTGTTGGTTCTTCTGGTGTTCCTCAGTGGCCCGACTCTTGGGTACATGGGCATCTACATGACGTACCTTCACCACCAGGTTCTGCACCCTGGCAGCAATATCTTTCCACAGTGCAGCAGCCCAGATGGTTTTACCTCTAGGTTGCCAGTTGTTCTGCTTCCATTGCTGCAACCACCCCCACAGGGCATTTGCCACCATCCATGAGTCAGTATAGAGGTAAAGTACTGGCCACTTTTCTCGTTCAGCAATGTCCAGGGCCAGCTGGATGGCTTTCACCTCAGCAAACTGACTTGATTCACCCTCTCCTTCAGCAGTTTCTGCAACTTGTCGTCCAGGACTCCATACAGCTGCCTTCCATCTCCGATGCTTTCCCACAATATGGCAGGACCCATCAGTAAACAAGGCATACTGCTTTTCACTGTCTGACAGTTTATTATATGGTGGGGCCTCTTCAGCATGCATCACCTGCTCCTCTGGTGACATTCCAAAATCTTTGCCCTCTGGCCAGTCCATGATGACTTCTAGAATGCTTGGATGACTGAGATTTCCTATTCGAGTTCGTTGTGTAATTAGTGCAGCCCATTTACTCCATGTAGCATCAGTTGCATGATGTGTAGAGGAGACCCTGCCTTTGAACATCCAGCCCAGCATGGGCAACCGGGGTGCCAGGAGGAGCTGTGCTTCAGTGCCAATCACTTCCGAAGCAGCTCGAACCCCTTCATAGGCTGCCAGTATCTCTTTCTCAGCTGGGGTGTAGCTGGCTTCAGATCCTTTGTATTCCTGACTCCAAAAGCTGAGGGGTCGACCTGGAGTCTCCCCTGGAGCTTTCTGCCAGAGGCTCCAGGTAGGACCGATCTCCCCAGCTGCAGTGCACAGTACACTTTTTACATCTGGCCCGGTCCGGACTGGTCCAAGGGCTACTGCATGAACTATCTCACGTTTAATTTGCTCAAAGGCTTATTGTTGCTCAGGGCCCCATTTGAAATCATTCTTCTTCCGGGTCACATGATAGAGAGGGCTTACAATCAAACTGTAATTTGGGATGTGCATTCTCCAGAACCCCACTGCACCCAAGAAAACTTGCGTTTCTTTCTTATTAGTTGCTGGAGACATTGCTGTTATCTTGTTGATCACATCTGTGGCGATCTGTCTACGTCCATCTTGCCATTTTATTCCCCAAAATTGAATCTCCTGTGCAGGTCCCTTGACCTGACTCCATTTTATGGCAAAACTGGCTTTCAGCAGGATTTGGATTATTTTCCTCCCTTTCTCAAAGACTTCTTCCGCTGTATCGCCCCACACAATAATGTCATCAATGTATTGCAGGTGTTCTGGAGCTTGCCCCTGTTCCAGTGCAGCCTGGATCAGTCCATGGCAAATGGTAGGGCTGTGTTTCCACCCCTGGGGCAGTCGGTTCCAAGTGAAATGGACACCTCTCCAAGTAAAAGCAAACTGTGGCCTGCACTCTGCTGCCAAAGGAATGAAGAAAAATGCATTGGCAATATCAATCGTGGCATACCACTTGGCTGCCTTTGACTCTAGTTCATACTGAAGTTCTAGCATGTTCGATACGGCAGCACTCAATGGTGGTGTGACTTCATTCAGGCCATGATAGTGTACGGTTAGTCTCCACTCTCCATTAGACTTTCGCACTGGCCATATGGGGCTATTAAAGGTTGAGTGGGTCCTGCTGATCACTTCTTGGCTCTCCAGTCTACGGATCAGCTGATGGATGGGAATCAGGGAGTCTCGATTGGTGTGATATTGCCACCGGTGCACTGTTGTGGTCGCAACTGGCGCTTGTTGTTCTTCGACTTTCAGCAACCCCACAACAGAAGGATCCTCTGAGAGACCAGGCAAGGTGGACAGCTGCTCAATTTTCTCAGTCTCCAAAGCATCAATATCAAAAGCCCACCGCTTCCCTTTTGGGT